GGTCATCTGGGAAGTGACACCAGGCCTCCCTCCTCCTCTGCCTCCTCTGGAGCCATGTGCTAGTCCACCAGTCAGGGGCAACCCCTGGGAATGGGGGTGGCGGAGGTCACTGGGGGTTTTTGCTTTGCTCTTGGCATCTTGGTTAAGGCTCTCTCAGGAGCTGAAGGTGGGGCAGGGGTAGGGGCCAGCGTCTGCAGGGTGCCGTGTCTACACAGGACAGGGCCCCGGAAGCAGCCGCCACACGAGGTGGAGGTAGAGGCGGCAGAGCAGAAAGTCTCCCGCATCTGTCACAAGGTCTTCTTCCCCAATGACATGAGTGAGGTGAGTCCCTGCCCCTGCCAGACACGGGGCCCACCCACACTGAGAGTCAGGCTCGGGGTGGGGGAGGGGAGGCTGTGCACAACTCATCTGCTGGCAGGTGCTTCGGACCAGCAGAGGTGTGGAGGGCAGGGGCAGCAGGAGAGGCTGCTGGTGGGAGGGAGTGTCCCCAGCTTGTGCATCGGGAAATCCAGGCCAAAGGCAGAGAGACGAGGAGGCTGGATGGGCAGGGCCTCTGAGAGCTTCTGACCTTCCCCGGGTGCGGGCGAGCCAATGCCAGAGTTAGAACTGCCTGCTGGGACAGAGCCCACCATGGCAGCGGGGAAGGTGGCAGGCAGGAGACCATCAGAGCCCAGGCGGGGAGGAAGAGGCCAAGAGAGAAGCAGCAGAGAAGAGCAGGGCCTGAGAGGGGAGTGGTGGGAGGTGGGAGGGGCCTTCCCAGCCTCCCCAGGGGCCCCACTGGCTTGTATGGCCTTGGGGACGGTGGAGTCCCTGTAACGGGAAGTTCCCACAAGCTAGCTGCAGAGCCCTCAGAGCAAGTCCAGGAGGGGAGGCGACACAGCCCCAGACATGAAGGGTCCCCCCCGCCCGGGGCTGTGCCTTGGACCCAGGGGAGCCTCTGGGCCTCACCTGCAGCCTCTCTGTACCCAGATGCTGGAGGTGGGTAGCGTCAGCCGCGTGCGAGACGTGTGTGAAGGCATCGCCACTCGGCTGCAGCTGGCCTCCTGGGAGGGCTGCAGCCTCTTCATCAAGATCACAGACAAGGTGCTGCCTACCTGGAGCCGGAACCCCGGGGACCGGGCAGGGAGGTGGGGAGCAGGTTCAGTCTCCTGACACCGAGCGGACCTCAGCCTGCCCGGCCCTGCCGAGCTGGGGCTGTTCCAACACATGGAGCAGGTGTCTGGGAGCCAAAATCTTGCCCCATGCATACCAGCTGCCTAATGCCAGCCTGTTAGTCAGCTGCTGGACCTGAGCCGGCCCCGCCCTGCCACAGGCCACACCCCTGGGAGGCCACGCCCCCTCCTGAACCTGCTGCCTCCCCAGGTGATCAGCCTGAAAGAGGCAGACTTCTTCTTCGACTCCCTGAGGCAAATGTCAGACTGGGTGAAGCGACACAGGCCCCAGAAGGAAGGTGAGGGTCTCGTGAGCAGGAGGACCCCTAAAAAGGGGGCTGTGATGGATGGGCAGAGGTGGGACTGTCGGCTGCCTGCTGCATGGCCCCGCACCCCTCATTCATTCATTCCTTCATTCATTCATGCCTCTGAGTGTCCCTAGGTCATGACAGCAGCCACAGCCTGGGGCCAGGTGGGGAGGGCCCTGCCTGGGGACACTCCCTGCTTGGGGAGAGCGTGGGGACAGGCCCAGAGCAGCTGGCTGCACTGCACTGCACAAGGGTCTTGACCCCATGGGGAGGAGGCCCAGGGGTGATCTGGAGCAGGTGGCCCCTCCGCTGACCTTGAAGAATGAGAAGTGTTGGGGGCCAGGAGGAGGGAGGTGGGGGGACAGCAGGAGCCATGGTACAGGCAGGGGCACACAGCACGGGGCAGGTGGAGAGGGAGCTGGCAGTGCCTGGGCCACCACAGCAGGTGGGGTTCAGGCCACAGAGCCTGCTGGGACAGGCTTGGTGCCCACTGCCGCCCCTCGCCCAGGGGCCCCCCTGACACTCCCATACCAGGTGTATTTCATGCGGAAACTGTGGATCAACGTGGTCCCAGGCAAAGATTTGAACGCGGACACCATACTGCATTATCACCAGGTACCCTCAGACGCTCCTGTTGGTGGGTGCTGGGGCCGCCCCATTCCACTCCACTCCTGTCCTGAGATGGCAGGGCGGGGGACCCCAACTGCAAGGCCCCACATGCCAGGGTCGGGGCTGAGCCACTGAGGACTCTCAGGCTAGGAGCAGAGGAGAGCTGCATTTGGGGACAGTGACTCTAGCAGCACCTGACTGCCAGGGGAGGGGCCAGAGAGCCCAGCCGCTGGCCCGTGTCCCAAAGGGCCAACCACATGGAGGAACAGGACACAGCCTCCATGGCAACATCAGCTGTGGGCCCCCTTGGCCTCTTGGATGGAACAGGCTGGCTCCCCGGACCGCCCCCCCCCACGCCCCGCCCCGCCCATGACCTCAGCACCAAGGAGGGGTGTGCCCATGGGCCGGCAGGCCTGAGACCTGGCATGTCCCTCACCCAGGAGCTGCCCAAGTACCTGCGTGGGTTCCACAAGTGTTCGCGGGAGGATGCCATCCATCTGGCGGGCCTCATCTACAAGGCCCAGTTTGACAAGGACCAGTCCCAGCTGGCCAGTGTCCCCAAGATCCTCAAGGAGCTGGTGCCTGCCAACCTCACTCGCCTGATGTCCACGGAGGAATGGAAAAAGGTCCTGACCACTTGGGGAGGGGCCTGGGGCTCCTGCCTCCCCTGGGGGACCCCACCTGGGCTTGGGGACTGGCTGGGTGCTGCTGGGACCCTCTCACCCCATCCTCCTGGGCCCCTGGCTCAGCAGGTTCTGATGGGCTTGGGGGGTCCCACATGGACAGCCCTGTGTGGGCAGGGCAGCCCCGCCTAGGCCCTCACCGGCCCTCCCATCCCCCAGAGCCTCCTTCTGGCCTATGATAAGCACAGAGACAAGACAGTGCAGGAGGCCAAGGTGGCTTTCCTCAAGTGGATCTGCCGCTGGCCCACCTTCGGGTCCGCCTTCTTTGAGGTGAAGGTAGGTCTCGCCCACGCCCAGGCCTCCTCCCCAGCCGAGCCCCTCGCATGCAGGGCCCCAGGGTTGGCTGCCACCAGGTCTGGCAGGAGCACATGTGGGTGTGTGCACCCCAGGTGAGCTCCTGGGAGCTCCCAGGCTGGGCTGTGACCACGGTATCCGCTCCCCCCCTTTCCCATCCCCAGCAAACCTCGGAGCCCTCCTATCCGGACATCATTCTCATTGCCATCAACCGACACGGGGTTCTGCTCATCCACCCCAAGACCAAGGTAGCAGCTGCAGGGCCTCAAGCAGGGCTGGGCTGGGGGCATCCACGGGAACCCTGGGACCCCAGTGCAGCTGAGGCTGGGGGCACCTGCTCCCAGATGTCACACCTGCCTTCATGTCCCCTCCCTCCCTACATACACACACACATAGGCCCTGGGTTCCAGGCCCCTGCCCACCTGTCTCTCTATCCCCAGGAGCTGCTCACCACCTACCCTTTCACCAAGATCTCCAGCTGGAGCAGCGGCAGCACCTACTTCCACATGGTGCTGGGGAGCCTGGGCCGGGGCAGCCGCCTGCTGTGCGAGACCTCTCTGGTGAGCCTAGCCCCAACTCAGCACCAGGAGGCGCTGGGGACTGCATTTCTGCCCTCACCCACTTGCTGCTGCCTGGCAAGCTGCTCCCCAGGAGGGCTCAGCAACCCAAGACCAGGCTGGTCCCACAGAGGCCTGGAGGGAGGCCAGGTGCATTCCCCAGGCGGGCAGGGAGGCAGCAACTCTGGTGGCAAGGCCGGGCTGTGGGGCTCCTGGTGCTGCCGGCCCGTGCTGAGGACAGAAGGAACCTCAGGCCCAGCGGGACAGGTGGCAGTAGGGACCCCGCAGCAGGTGTCCCCCTCCCCTCGCCACCACGCCCTGCCCAGTTGTGTTGTCCTGGCAGAGATGTTAGATACCACCAGGTCCCCAAGTCTAAGACCCCACCCGCCCTCCCTACAGCCACAGTCTCTGATCCCATCCTTTCCCTGTCCAGGGCTACAAGATGGACGACCTGATGACCTCATACGTGCAGCAGCTCCTGAGTGCTGTAAACAGACAGCGGGCCCCCGGGAACCCAGCCCTGGACAAACTCTAACAGGGATGCCGGCCACCCATCCAGCCACTGTTCCCCGCCAAGACCCAGGACCTGCCCACTCCATAGAACGCTGGGTCCCCTCAGCCCCTCTCTCTAAGGCACTGACCGTGGAGGCCAGAGCAGCTGGGGTGGGGCCAGGAGTCTCATGGCCCAGGGCCAAGGGTGGAGAGCTAAGAGGGGCCTACCCCCCACCCCAGAATGTTCAATAAAAACTCATGTAGCAATGAAAGTTGAGTGAAGGGTTGGATGGGCCATGGGGTCCTTGGTGGGCAGCAGGCCTGGGAGTTTTTGCCCAGAGAAACAGATTATCGCTGCCTTCTCCGGCAGTCACTTCTTTGGCCCTTGCTCCTGCCTCTTGGTTCCTCTCTGGGCCTCCCTTCCTCTCTTCCTGAGTCTCAGGCACAGGAGAGGGCGCTCACTGGCGACCCCTCCCCTTTCAAGCCTCCTGCACACCTGTTCTCCTCCCCACTGGGGTACCTGGGAGTGTGGAGCACCGGAGGGCCAGGGTGGAGGCCCGAGCCAGGACTGCCTGCTCTCGGGTCTCAGGTCTCATGCTAAGAACAACCTGGGCTCCGGCCCTCCCTAGGCAGAGACAGCCTAGGAGGCCTGGATGACTCCACTTCATTGATAGTTCTTATCCAAGCCCACCCCTGACTCTGCCTGCCAGGACAGCCCACACGGGCCTAAGGGACCATAGCTGGCCTTGACTCAGCGGCGTCTTGATGACAGCCTGGCCTGGACCAGGGCTGGGACGCACCTGAACTCTTTCATCTGCCATTTTGTATCTGCCCCTGAGCAGTGAGCAACACTTGGGCTGGGGTCCCCTGCCCCCTGCCGCCACAAACCATGCCAGGCCATTGTGCTGGTGTGAGACAGCCTTCATTGTGCAAGCGTGCACCCCAACGCCAGGTCTGCACCGGACATGGAGGAAGGGCCGTCCCTGGAAGGGGGAACACCACCCCTAACCCCACCACCTCCTGGCTCCTGGCCTCACCCAAAGCCTCCACACCAGCCCTGGAAGAGGAGGATCTGACATGGGGTAGGATTTCAGGACGATTGCCGGGTGACATAAGGGAGTGGGTCCTTGTCCCTCCAGCCGGTCTGTAGGTGGGAGGGGCAGGATGTGCTGGCCCAGGGTTGAGTGAGTGGTGAGGAATGGAGAAGGGGCCCCCAGAGGCCTCCATCTGTTATGGCCCCGGCTAGTGGGGCCCGAGGTGCACACAAGGGGACCACCCTGGGGAAAGGCATAGCTGTGGGTCAAGCCTGTGGCAGGTGGTTTGCTGAAGGCCAGGGGTGCAGGGAAAGTGGCTGTCGGGAGAGAGCCTCGTGGGACGTCCCACCTCCGGGACACAGGACAGAGGACAGAGGAGCCAGGCACCGGAGAGGAGACGCTGGAGCACTTGAAGATACGGGAAAAGAGGGAAGGACCTGGCGCACCGGGACAGAGAGAAGGGAGGGGCAGTCAACGGAGAAGTGGGAGGGAGGGACCCGGCAGCCAGGAAGGGGGAGGGGCTTAGAGGGGTGGGACCTGCATCCCGGAAGGGGAGGGGCTTTGGTGGAGGGCGGGCCCGGAAGCCCAAAAGGCGAAGAGCGCAGAAGAGGGCCGGTGGGGCGTAGCTGGCCGCAATCCCACAGGCCTTCAGGCCGAGTTGAGGTCCACGGCCTTGGGCTGGGCCTTGCGAGAGGTCAGCTCCGACAGCTTCTTCAGCCGCTTCTTCAGCTCCAGCGGGAACTTCTCATAGCACTTCTTGCACACGGGCTTCATGTCGAACTCCACAAACTTGTTCCTGCCAAGACGCCTGGCCTTCAGGACAGCCCCGTGCCCCACCGACCCTGACCCCAGCCAGCCGGACGACCTGAGGCCCTCCACGAGCCCCACCCACCTGCAGACCCAGCCCCACGGTTCCCTGGGGATGATGACCCTCTGGCCGCCCTCCCTTCCACCAAAGCCTCCTCTGGCTCCCAGCTATCCCCAGGAAGCTGGCCGCCTCACCTCTCACAGCCCCAGCCATCGCACACCGGCCTTGGCTTCCTGATTCCTTTGTCGCTGCATATGCTGTTCCCTGGGCTGGAATGCCCTTCCTTCCCCAGAGCCCGGGGGCCCTTGTGGGTGTTATCCCTGGACCCCATTGCCCTGGGCTGTGTGTGTGGCATCCCCAGGTTGCCCAGGGCAGGCTGCCAGAAGGCAAGGCCTGACTTACTTGAGGGTGAGCTTGCTGTTGCAGGTGGAGCAGGAGAAGCAGTTCACACACCAGGCCTTGTTGAGGGCCGACACCACTGCGAGGGGAGACAGGGCTGAGCAGGCTCCGCCCAGGCAGCCAAGGGCCCAGCTGTGCAAAGCCTTGGCCAGCTGGGCTCGCAGCTGCAGGACTGCCAGCCCCCAGGAGTGCAGGCAGGCAGGGGCAGGGGAGGGAGGGGCTCAGGACACAGGGGCCTCACCATCGCCCTCGATCACGTGGCTGCAGTTATAGCAGACGTCCCCAAAGAGCTGTGGATGGAGTGGGCTGTCAGTGCAGGTGGCATCACAGCGGGAGTCCCCAGGGGGGCTGCCCGTTGCCCCCTCCTGCCCATCCAGCAGCTCCCTGAGCGGGGGAGACTCCCATGACCTGTCAGCCCCCTCTCAGACCAGTGTCCACTGTGTCCCAGCCCTACCTGGTTGTAGTGGGTCTCACAGTAGGCTAAGCCCTTCTTCTCATAGTGCCGGTGCCCCAGGAATGGCTTCTCACACTTGGCACAGACAAAATGCTGCAGGGAGAGAGGGCGGGTGGGCTGGGACACCAAGAGATGAGCAGCAGAGGCGGGGCAGGGCCGAGGGCTGATGCCTCCCTGGCTGAGCAATCTCTCCTCTAATGCATTCATGGTGACAGGGCATGTCACCTCCCCCCGCCCCCTCACAGAGCCAAGGAGCGCATGGTGCAGCGGCCCTCACAGGTGGGAGCCATCTGCTTAGTGTGGTGCCTCCTGCAGCTCCACTGTGAGCCCCTGGAGGATGGGTGAGGGGCAGGGGCAGGGGCTGGGGGCCAGGGCAGGACAGCCCACTGCCTCCTGTAAGGGGCCTCTCAAACGGGCCACCCAAGGCGTGGATGTGGACACAGCACTGGCCAGGCTGTCAGAAATGGGCAGCTCCTTCCCCGGGGTGTCTGTACGAGTATCAGAGCCCTCAGCGCCGGCATGAGTGCTCGGCTGACCCAGGTGTGCACACCTGAGGAGCTTGCCCACTCCACATCTACCTGGCCCTGAACACACCGAGCCCTGTCAACCACAACACCTGTGGGCCATCTGTCCCCAAGGTCTCCCCAACTTTGGAATCTTCTAGAATTGCCAGGAAAGTGGGGAAAGACTGTCCCTCCACCTGTGGGCTCAGGTCTCCTGTGGCCCACTGGGGTCCCTGGCCAAGTATAGTGGCATAGGGGTGCAACACTCAGAAGGGAGGTCCTCGCTGGGAGCCAGCATGGCCTGGGCTGGGGTGCACAGGGGATGCAGGGCCAGACTGTGGCCATGGGCCTAGGGACCCCCAACCTGAGGCTACGTGCCCGCCACTGGCTCACCTCCACGTGCCACTGCTTGCCCAAGGCGTTGACCACACGGCCCTCGATGGGCCGGCGGCAGGCCCCGCAGATGGGAATGCCCATCTTGTCGTGACACGGCAGGCAGTAGAGTTCACCCTTCAGCTCCCGAGCCTCGGCCGTCAGCTCCTTCCTGGAAGACAGCACAGAGCCCCCAGGTGCCGCCCCTGCCCCAGCCACTGTGACAGGCCCCTCTGTGTCCCCCCGCAGTCCCCCCCATGCAGAGCAGAGCTGGCGGCTCCCTCTGATCTGTGCTATCCTTGGAGACTTCCTGTGAGTGCCCCAGAAGGGGCGAGGCCTGGTGCAAGCACAGCCTGTGTTGTACCGCAGGAGCCCTCTGAGAAGAAGGCCTGTTCTCAGCTGGACAGGATGGCTGGGACAGGCAGAGAGAGAGGGGTGGGGGGGCAGGGGCGCTTCTCTCTGCCCCTGCCAGCCCCTTCATTGTCCCTGCCATCCAGGTACCCAGGACCGAGCCCCAAGGGAAGGAGCTTCCTGCCACTGGGCCCACCCTGTCCCCGCTCCCTCCAATGCACCGCCCCTCTCTGCCCAGCTCGCCTCTCCTGCCCATCACGGCCCTGGCTCCCTCTGGGTGACTCAGCGGCTCTCCTGCCAGCACCTACCCGCAGTGGGTGCAGCTGAAGTGGTCCGGGTGGTAGGCATCATTCTTGAACATGAGGGGCTGCTCGTCGATGACCAGGTGGCACCGCTGACAGATGTATTTGCCCAGGCCCTTGGCCTTCTCACGGTTGTGGCACGGGCGGCACAGGTGCCTGGAAGGGCGAGGGCAAGTATTAGGGGCAGAGGGCTCCCTCCCCCAAAATAGCCCTGGCACCTCTGGGAGAACAGAGTCCCACTCTCCCTACCCCCGCCCCGCCCCCTTCCTGGGCCTAGGACACTGGAATGGAACAGCTTCTGACTGATACGTGATGAACTATCAGTTTGTCCTTTTCTCAATGTCTTTGAACACATGCACAGAGACTACAGAGGATGCCAGCCCGGCAAATCCACTGTGCCGGGGGCTGCGTGGCCGCCGAGTGAGTGCAGGGAGGGGGTCTGGCTCCCCCACTTCCTTCGGGGTCTGCCGGATGAAGAGGGGCCCTGGCCTGCATAGGAGCTTTCTGTCTCCAAGACAAGAGCTGCTGTGTCACACGCAGGCCCCCCAAACCCTGCAGCGGTCGCTACAGAGTCTTTTTTGTGACACTCTCTGAGTCATTTCTGATGCTACTCCCTGCCTTGGGCAAACAGCTGTGGTCTCTGCTGACAGTGAGATCAACATGGTATCTGTTTCCTGGGTGGCAAGCATTGAGAACCAGGATCCCTAAGCAAAGAGGCACAAAGGCCGGCATCCAACACCCATGGTTCCCCGATCCCCACCTGCTGCCCCCATCTGATGCATTGGGGCCCTCCCTTCCCAGGCCCCCAACCCACAGGGAAGCACCCCCACACACATACACACACACCTCTCACCAGCCTCCACAAAGACCTGACACCAGGCCTTGGCCCCTTCTACGGAGAATTTGACACAAGAGATGGACGCTCAGATTCCAGATCCTTCATCATCAGGTGATGGATTCAGGTGCCAGGGCGGCCAACTCAGCTCCCCAGCACCTGCTACCTCTGAGTCTGGACCCCACCCCATTCTGCACTGCTTTCCTTTTGCTCTGAGCATCTCTCTGCCCCAGTCGGCATACAGGACAAGGGGTCCAGTAGCCACTCGCTAAGCTGCCGATGGGCTCCCAGCTGTGCCCGCCGGACCACCATGCCTCCCACTCCTGCACCCTCCTCTCTGGAGCCCCTCTCTGCCCAGCTCGCTGTCAACATGAGTGAGAACGCACAGGAGAACTGAAAGGCAGTAGCCATCGGTCTCCTGGCCTCATGTCTGCTGGCTGACCTTCTCTCTACTCTGCAGTGGGCAGCAGATGTGGCCTGTGGCTTGCCACTTTCCTCAGTACGCTCCCTGAAGCCCAACCTCACCCGACACCATCCGGGCCACTTCCACAGCTGAGTGGTTCCGTCCGGCCAGCCCCTGTGGCTAGCTGCACCCCTCCCCCCGCCTCCCACGTGCCTGTTTCTCTATCAGCATCCACGCCCCCACTCCCAGTGTTGATGACTGTCCCTTAGCTTTAAGACATTAAACATAAACATTCCGTCCATATGGGAAAGTGTTTGTTTCCAAGCTAAAGAGATAATTGGCTCGACTCCCCAGATTCTGTTGCAGTGGTCAAGGCTCTCGCTGCCTCCATCAGCGGTCACCCCGATAATAAAAGTCTGTGAGCTCAGAAATACCAGGGTCAGGGCAGCCCAATCCAAACACCCAACTCACGCTTCCAAGCAGACAGCCACCACCGGGGTGCACCAGGAGAGAGGCACGTGCCCAGCCCAGACACCTGCACACCCCACAGGCCCCCAGGCAAGACAAAGTGAGACGCCGAGTCTCTTGAAGGAACTTCAGCTGGGATGAGGCTTCTCCACAGTCCTGACCCCAGCCCGCCCCAGCTCTAATGGGGACTTTCAAAAAAATTTTTTTTAGGGAAGCACATGCATGCACACACACACACACACACATACAGAGCGAGTCCTGGCTGTGCTGCCACCTAGTGTTTGCCTGGAGTGAGTCATGTCATCTCTCGGAGCCTCAGTCTTCTTGTCTGCCAAGTGGGCACAGGCTTACGTGGAAAGACAAAGTGGAGATGGTGCCCGTGACGGGCATCCCCCGAACACCTACCACATACAGCTGCAAGTGCTCTCACTAAGAACTAAGAGCTTTCAAAGTAGGAATGCCACTTTGGATCTCCAAGTTACTGACTGAGCACTTGCAGAGAGAAACAAGCTTGGCCCAGTCCGTCCTGGGAGTGGGCACCCCAGGAGGAGTCCCGGGGTTGGTGGCCAGTGGCAGCCGTGGCTGTCCTGTGCAGAGGAGGAGCCTCCTAGGCGAGGGCCAGGCCCCAGGCTGAGCCACGTCCTCTGCAGGGCAGACAGCAACCCATTATGATGTGTCCTGCAGCTGTGTCCCGCTCCCGATAAAAGCGGTGATTTATTCCACACGCCTGAGCAGGGCCTAATTATACGGGGCAGGACACAAGGACCCTACAGCAAGTGTCCTGAAAGAGTCCCCTCTCATTTGGCCGAACGAGATCCCCCAGCCTCCCACCCTCCACATTCACAAGACCCCCCGCCCACTCCCGACGTCCTCCGCTCCCACCCCCAGCGCGGGCTGGGGAGCAGGGGCCTGTTGCTGTGGCAGCCAGCCCCTCACCGCCCCCCTCTGTAAGAAATCATCCTCTTGTGAAATGCCCTGTTGTGTCTCAGTCTCAGGCAGAACCCCCCGCCCGGCCCTCGCCCACTCCCAGGCTCCCAAGACAGCCATACACTCAGCCTCTATGACGCTCTGTGGCTAGGCTGGAGGGGGAGGCACGCCGGCTAGGGACACACTGGAATATTCACGGTCCCCGTGGCGGCACAGGCAAGCCCCCCACAAGGGACCCCTCAGGAATGAAGCAGCCTTTCAGGGCTAGAGGGTCTGCAGCCTCCCCTCCTCTCCTTAAATAGCCAACCTTCCACCCACAGCGGCACGGAGACCACGGCCAGCGCCAACACCCACTGGCTGCAGCTCACCTGCCAGCCCCAGAAGCCTGCCCCCACCTCCAGGACCAGCTGGGAGAGGTAAGGGACAGAGCTGGGCTGGGCATGGGAAAACAGAGCAGGGCAGCCTTGCTCGGCGTGGTGTTGATAGGATGCCTTTTGTCTCCATCTCACTGATAATGGGATGACCTGTAAGCACTGGCCACAGTCTGACCTCACAGCAGCCCACAGGGAATGCACCTGTCCCCCTGCTGGGGACTACAGAGGGCAAGAGGCCAATCCATAGTCCCACGCTGCGACTGACCATCTATTGGGATCCAGGCCACCAGCCGAGGCCACCATATGTGCCTGCCACCAGGCACAAGGAGGAGCTGGGAGCAGGGCTCAGCCAGGGAGGAACAGGTGCCCAGTGCTGCCGCCTCACCACAGCACAGCACCACGGTCCCTCCACCGAGGTGCAAGCCCAGTCCCCTGAGGCCACTACACCCACAGCACTGAGATCCATCACTGCCAGACACCCAGGCAGAGATACTCGCCCCAGTCTGAGCAGAGAACAGAGAGCGCCTCGGGGAAGCCGGGAGCCCAGGCAGGCGCTGGCAAAGGACTACAGAGCGTGAGGCAGGGGCCGATCTCAGACCAAATGGCAAAGTCAGTCTCACAACTCTTGGAATGGAGTGCAGGCAGTGGGGAGGGGACTGTGGAGGGAGAGGTCCCAGCAAAACAGAACAGCACACACTCCATGGCAGCCAAGCCCACACCCTTCCTGCCCCCTGCTCCTCCCTGGGTCTGTGGCTGCCCCTGTGCCTTGAAGATATCAGCTGCCCAGATTCAGGACTGCCAGACTGGGTCCCCAAATAGGGAGAGGGCTGGGGGTCTTGGCCGTGGCTGATGAGGCCTGGTGGGAAGTGCAGCTGTCACAGACACACAGCAGGGACAGCCAGCCCTGCCTCCTCTACTGATGGGGGTGCCAAGCCTCCCACATGTCCTCAGAGTGGTCCACCTCACCCTCATGCCCACTCAGCCCTACACCACCTGCGGTACCCTGAGGCAGCCCTGCAGAAGGTGTGATCCATCATTCACAGGAGGGGAAACTGAGGCTGGAGGAAGGGTGTGAAGAGAACTTGCTCCAGGAAGATCCTCGGTGGCTTAGTGCAGAGCCTGGCTCGCCCAGGTGAGGAACCTACCTCTCCATTGGCTGGGCTCTGCCTTCCCACTGCTGTCCTGTGATGGGTGGGTAGACAGGTAGGGTGCAGGCTTCTCTCCCTGTGACCCCTCTCACCCCTGAAGGAGCCAGGCTGAAGCCCACTGGCAATCTTAGGGATGAGAAGGCGGGGCTGACCTGTCCTGTGTGCTGGTCCCTCCTGGCTCCTGCCCACAACCCAACATCCAGGCCTGGGTCAGGCTATAGAGCTGATAGGCTCCAAGTACTGGGCTATTAGGAACAGATCCCACCCACCCACCTGCCCACCTGTCAGGAATGGGGTTCAGGGGCCAGCCTCTGCCCCTCAGCTTACCTGGAAGGCAGGACAACATTATGTGTGGCCCCCTTCACCCTCCAGAGCCTCACACAGACAGGCTCCCACTGTCCCATGGAGGCAGTGCTACAGGCATCAGAGGGTGCTCTCTCCTCTGGACTCTGGACTTAGGTGACACTTCTCCTGTCATGTGTGTGCTTGTCCCCTCCAGGCTCATCCCAGGCTCTGCCTCCAGCCACAGCATGAATGGGCTCGAGGCCGCCTCCCCAAGTCTGACCGTCAATGCGTCCCTGGCTGCCCCTGGGGAATGCGGGCATGAGACGCCGCTAGAGAACATGTTGTTCGCCTGCTTCTACCTCTTGGACTTCATCCTGGCCTTCGTGGGCAATGCGCTGGCTCTGTGGCTCTTCATCCGGGACCACAAGTCGGGCACCCCGGCCAACGTGTTCCTCATGCACCTGGCCGTAGCTGACCTGTCCTGCGTGCTGGTCCTGCCCACCCGCCTCGTCTACCACTTCTCCGGGAACCACTGGCCCTTTGGGGAGATCCCGTGCCGGCTCACTGGCTTCCTCTTCTACCTCAACATGTACGCCAGCATCTACTTCCTCACCTGCATCAGCGCTGACCGCTTCCTGGCCATTGTGCACCCGGTCAAGTCCCTGAAGCTGCGCCGGCCGCTATACGCTCACCTGGCTTGCGCCTTCCTGTGGGTGGTGGTGGCCGTGGCCATGGCCCCACTGCTGGTGAGCCCGCAGACCGTGCAGACCAACGGCACAGTCGTCTGCCTGCAGCTGTACCGGGAGAAGGCCTCGCACCACGCCCTTGTGTCCCTGGCCGTGGCCTTCACCTTCCCCTTTGTCACTACGGTCACATGCTACCTGCTGATCATCCGCAGCCTGCGCCAGGGCCCCCGCGTGGAGAAGCGTCTCAAGAACAAGGCGGTGCGCATGATCGCCATGGTGCTGGCCATCTTCCTGGTCTGTTTTGTGCCCTATCACGTCCACCGCTCTGTCTACGTGCTGCACTACCGGGACGGCCGGGCCACCTGCACGGCCCAGCGCATCCTGGCGCTGGGGAACCGCATCACCTCCTGCCTCACCAGCCTCAATGGGGCCCTGGACCCCGTCATGTACTTCTTTGTGGCTGAGAAGTTCCGCCATGCCCTGTGCAACCTGCTGTGTGGGAAAAGGCCCATGGGCCCGCCCCCTAGCTTCGAAGGGAAAACCAACGAGAGCTCACTGAGCGCCAGGTCCGAGCTGTGAGCCGGGAGTTCACAGCATCGCCCCCACCCCAGCGGGGGAGGCCAGCTGCAGGCTGCCTCGGAGGACACCTCCTCCCAGAATTCTCAGCAGGGCCCCTGCCCTCTCTGCCTCCCAGGTCTGAACTGCAAGGTCACCCAGCACAGGGCACAAGGAAGAAACCAGCAACAGGGATGGATCAGCCACCCCTCCACAGGGGCTGGGTTGCGGCTCCAGCTCCAAGACATTCAGTGACCTCATCCTCAGGAAGAGAGCGAGGAGGCCAGAGGGACACTCCCTGGACAATGAGGGTCTTTCTTCCCCACAGAGGCTCCCCGTCTCCTTCCCAAGACAGACCAGCATAGTGCAAAACTCTGCAGAAAGAACCCTGCGGGCAGCCCAGCAAAAGACAGACTTGGGGACGGCAGTGGGGGCGGGGCACGGCGGGGAGGGTGGGAGGGTTGTCTAAATATTTCCTTCGAAGCACAAGGTACCCCGGGGTCCCTCTGTGCTGCCCCTGACAAAAGGCTCCTGGCTGAGTGTCGGGGACACGGACTACAGGTCACAGGCAGAGGAACGCCGGGTGACGTCCACACACATCAGCTCCGCTCTGGATCCTAGTTCCCTGCTGTCGGCCCAAGCCCAACCCTGACAATCCCCACAGCATCTCAGCAGGTATCCGGTCGCTCCCGGGGCCCCAGGCAGGTTCACAGTGCTTATGGGCAATCACGGGGAGCCGATCTCGGCTGAGCAGCAGGGAATGAACCTGTCTCCCACTAACCCTGCCCTGGCAGGGGCGTCCTAAGCCCCACTCCCTCCAAGGGGCCTCTGCCGGCCTTGCGTCACCCTAACACATCCTCTTGTGTGCTTGTTTGTAGCAATCATAAACATAACCGTAGCTTTAAGACGGCGAAGCTCACTATGTTTGGTCAACATGGAACAGCTCTTCCCTTCCATTCAGAGCAGGGGTCAGGGGGCAGAGATGAGGTCAGCACAGGCTCCGTCACTGTGGATCCAGCAGCCGCAGCCCCTCTGTCCCAGGCAGACTCTGAGGTTCTGCGCCATGGACTCCAAGAGCCAGCCTGGCCGGTGGGGGCTCCAGGCAGGGATCTCACCCACTCCAGCTGCACCTGCCCCCGCCATCACAGCTCCTGTACTTTTCTATCCAAAGCATGTGCAGCCTCTCACAGATCCTCCCAATTAGCCTGTGGGGCAGTGGTCCCATGCAAGCTGAGCTTGGGAAGGGGACAGCGCTTGCTTCCGGCACACACTGGGTAGTGACCTTGCTGATCAGCTCTGGACCCCCAGTGCTGTCCCTCAGCCCCTCATTCAGGCAACCTGCTAGGTGCCAGGTACTGCGCCAGCCCTGCAGATCCCAAGACAGGCACAAGGCCCTGTGGAGCAGCAGATGAACAGAATCAGTGCTGATCATCTCAGGAAGGGACACAGAGCTGCTACAGCATACTACCAAGAGCCCAGGCGGGAAAGGGTGGGGCAGCCAGACAGACAGCTCAGAGGCGGGGTGGGGGTGGGGGCCTCTGGGAGGCGGGGCTGCCTTTTCTAACAGGGGACAGACAGATAAGCAGACTTGATTATTAGAACAAAACAATCACAGTTCAGCATGGGACCCATGGCATCCGGGACATCTGGTAGACCCCACATGGTGCAGGCACACAGGTGACTGAGAACCTCAAGGGAGAGGGCGAGGTGGGCCCCTGCACTGTCCAGATGTGCAGCCATGTAGGGCTCTGTCTTCAAGGCAGTTGTGAGGGCCCAGCACAGCCTCACCATGGAGAGGCAGGTGGAGAAACGTGAATGCAAGAGGGAGCGCGAGGTGCACCTGCAAAGCCAGAGGAACCCCCACAGCAGGGGATGGGCACTATGGTGATTGCCGTGGAGAGATCCAGGGGAGGCCCTGGCCAGGTGGGTAGTCCGGGTTGGTGGGAGCACAGGGGAAGAGGTGGCAGGTGAGCTAGTCAGGGCTGCAGGCGCCCCAGCTGTGGGAGATGCAGCTGCAAGCTCTACACCAAGCCTGGAGATAGGGAGAGAGAAGGTGGTGGCGACGGCTCGGAGGTGAGCAGGGAGACAGTTCTAGATGGGCAGAGGGTGCAGGTGCTGGGGGCCCCCAGAGCTGGTCTCCAGTGAGGTGGGGTTGAGGCCATAGGCGATGGGGCGGGGCCAGGGAAAAAGAGGAACTTGGAGGGCACAACTGCAGGTCGCGGCCTCCCTGAGTTCAGACTAAACCAGTGCAGTCAGGCTGGGTGGCTCCTCTCCAGCAGCCCTCGGCTGCATGGGTGCAGGCGGGAAGCGTGCTCAGTGGGCGTCGGCGGGAGGGGCTGGCCGAGGCAGCACCGGCTCAGCCTGGAGCTCCGCACTGGTCACTGCCGGCCGCTGCTCCTGCTTGGCTGATTTCCTCCTTGGTACCCACGGGCTGTGAGCCTGGGGAGGGTCGTGCCTCACGCCTCACTCTCCAGTCTCGGCTCCCGAGGGACACAAGCAGGGACGGCGGCCACCTCAGGATGGGTGGCCATTGGGGAACAGGTGCCCCTTCTGTCTGCCCAGGCCTCAGCGCCTCACCTGCCCGCATTTTTCACGAAGCCCAGGTCAGCCAGCTCCACGTCACACAGCTCACAGCGGAAGCAGCCGGGGTGCCAGTTGCTGTTCATGGCCTTGATGACACGGCCAATGATGAACTCACCTGGAAAGGGACAGATCCCCGCTTACAGGCAAGGCACGTCCCTCCCCGCCCCCGCCCCAGCCACGGCCATGGTGTCCTCACACCCTCCTGTGGCACGGGAAGGCAGTGCCTGCAAGGGGCCTGGTGCTCAGAGAGACAGGACCCCAGTGCCCCCACCTCCCCCACCCTCCACCTGCACTTACCGCAGGATCCACAGCACGGAGCAAACAGCATCTGGAAGTCGTGCTCACAATATTTCCGGCCTTCGAACTGCAAATACGGCCACAGAGAGAGGTCAAGCGAAGTCCCCGCCATTCCCACGAGCTGCCCTGGGCCTCCGTGGGACCACACGTGACCACAGAGGTCGAAACACCAAGAAGAGGATGCTGGAGGCCGCTGGAGCAGAGGACCGGCCCCTGGGGTGGGGCGGGTGCACAGGGAGGGCCTGGGACGCAGCGGCAGAGGTCAGCGGGGCCAGCTCTCCAGGGACTTGGCCTTGGTGCAGAGAGCAGGCCGGGGGGGGGGGCACGGGCTTCAGCTGAGAGGGGTTAGGTCAAGTGTGACTTGTATGTGGCACCTTGCCCTACTTCCTGTGACTCCCCTGTGGGAAGTCCACTGGCCCCAAGGCCGGATAAGACCCAGGGAGAGGAGTCAGAAGGAGGGAACCCAGGAAGGCCCAGGGGTGGGAGTGCAATAGGAACCCCCGGTCCTGCAGCCAGAAGCAGCCAGTGTGGACACCACAGCAGCCATGGTCCTCTGCCTTCCTCTCTCATAACAATGGAATTAGCTTTCTTAAAATCTTGGTTTTTCTTGTTCTCTACCATGAGGGTCTTGGGGTTGGTGTTATGGTGTATCAGGTTAAGATGCCACTTGCAATGCTGCGATCCCATATCGGAGTGCCAGGCTGTTTCCCTTCCTATCCAGCTCCCTGCTAATGCACCTAGGAAAGCAGAAGAAGATGGTCCAAGTGCTTGGGTCCCTGCCACCTACATGGGAGACCAGGATGGAGTTCCAAGACTCCTGGCCTCAGCCTGGCCCAGCCTTGGCCATTGCAGCCATTTGGGGAATGAACCAGCAGGTGGAAGATTCTCTCCTCTCTCTCTCTCTCTCTCTCTCTCTCTCCCTTTCAAACAAATAAATAAATCTTTAAAAAAAAAAAAAAAGTCTTGCTAGGCTACAACTAGATACAACCCTATGCGGTAACCTGCAAAGGCAGCCAAAGTTTAAATTCATTCAGTGACAAATGAATGAATTTATTCCTTGTCCAGCCACGTGACTGCCCCCCTGCTGCCCCTGCCTTGGCCAGCATCACTCAGGAGGCTGGAAGTCTGGCCAGCTCAGCAGCAGCCACCACAGATAGTGTGCAGAAACCTCAGGAGCAAAGATAATTGCGAGTAGAGCAAAAGAAGTAGGAAGCGGCCACGTTGGAGTGTGTGCTATCACTGTCCATTCACATGAATTTAATAATGGCTGCTTCAAAACTTGCTTGCATGACTGTTGGAGTCTGTTTTGCCAAAGATTGTTTATTTGAAAGAGTGACAGATCTTCCATCCACTGGTTTACTCCCCCAAATGCCCACAACAGCCAGGGCTGGGCCACATTGAAACCAGGAAGCCAGGAACTACATCCGGATCCCCCACATGGGAGGCAGGGGCCCAAGTACTTGGGCCGCCATCCACTGCTTCCCAAGTGCGTGATTCGAGAAGGCTGGGACTGGATCTGGCACTCAAACACGGGTCTCGGGCGCCCCCAAGCGGTGGCTTACCCCACTGCGCCGCAACACCTGCCCTGATTGGTGATTTACGGTGTTGCTCCTATGAGCCAGCATGGGCCACTCGCCTCCCTTCGCTTTCATCCGGATATTGCAACAGTGACTTCCTCACGCTCCCCATAGGCAGTCTTCAATACCCTAGCAGCAGCACCAGCAGAGGCAAAGCCAAGATCACGGCCCTGGGCCCGGCTGCAGGATCCCAGAAAGCAGATTCTGAGCTGGGTCTGAGAAGGAAGCCCAGATCCGGGTCCCCGTCGCCCCCTGGCCCCGGCCCCCGCCCGGAGCATCCTCACCTCGTAGAAGAGCCCCTCCGGGAAGGGCCGGAAGCACTGGGCGCACACGAAGCAGTGCTCGTGGAAGAGCTCTCCGTTGCTGTTGACGATGCGCTCGGCTGGGGCGAACCGGGCCTGGCAGCGCTGGCACACGGCGTTGGCCAGGGCGTCCGACATGTTGCTGGGGAGGGGAGAGGAGGAAGTGTAGTCAGCATTGGGAGGGCTGTGATTGCTCCACGGATACACTCCGTTTATAAAAGGTGACGTCCATGTGGGGCTGGCGCTGTGGGGCAGCGGGTTAAGCCTCTGCAGCACCGGCATCCTACATGGGCACCACCTGCAGTTCGAATTCTGGCTGCTTCAGTTCGGATCCAGCTCCCTGCTAATGCTCCTAGGAAAGCAGCAGATGATGGCCCAGGTGCTTGGGCCCCTGCTCACACATGGGAGACCTGGATGAAGTTCCAGGCTTCTGGCTTCAGTCTGGCCCAGCCTCAAGTGTTGTAGTCCACTTTGGGAGTGACGGAACATCAACACCTCATTCTCTCTCCCTGTAATTCTGCCTTTCAAATAAATAAAATGTCTTTTTTTTTTTTTTTTTGACAGGCAGAGTGGACAGTGAGAGAGAGAGACAGAGAGAAAGGTCTTCCTTTGCTGTTGGTTCACCCTCCAATGGCCGCCGCAGCCGGCGCGCTGCGGCCCGCGCACCGCGCTGATCCGATGGCAGGAGCCAGGAGCCAGGTGCTTTGCCTGGTCTCCCATGGGGTGCAGGGCCCAAGCACCTGGGCCATCCTCCACTGCACTCCCTGGCCACACAGAGGGCTGGCCTAGAAGAGGGGCAACCGGGACAGAATCCGGCGCCCCGACCAGGACTAGAACCCGGTGTGCCGGCGCCGCTAGGTGGAGGATTAGCCTAGTGAGCCGCGGCGCCGGCCAATAAAATGTCTTTTTAAAAAAAGACAATGAAATGAGAGGCTAGTTGCCTGCATTGATAGTTTATGTGGTGTCTGTGTGTTGAAGTCATGCACAGTACCTCAGAAAGATGTGCAGGTGTTGCCTGTTAAACAAACAAACCTTTTAAAAAATATCTTCCATCCGTTGGTTCACTCCCAAAATGATTGCAGTGCCTGGGGCTGGACAAAACCAGGAGCCAGGATCTTCAACTGGGTCTTCCACGTGGATGCAGGGGCCCAGCACTTGGGCTTCTTCCCCAGGTGCATTAGCAGGGAGCTGGATTGGAAGTGGAGCAGCCAGGACTTGAACCAGTGCCCACATGGAATGCTGACACTGTAGGCAGCAGGTTTACTCTCTATGCCACAATGCCAGCCACAAACTTTTTAATAAGAATCAATAAATGGGGCCGGCTCTGTGGCATGTAGCAGGTAAAACCACCGCCTGCAGTGCCAGCATCCCATATGGACACCAGTTCGAGTCTCGGCACTCCACTTCTGATCCAGCTCTCTGCTATGGCCTGGGAAAACAGCAGAAGATGGCCCAAGTCTTTGGGCCCCTGCACTCGTGTGGGAGACCCAGAAGAGACTCCTGGCTCCTGGCTTCAGATCAGCTCAGCTCTGTCATTACAGCCATTTGGGGGAGTGAACCAGCGTATGGAAGACCTCTCTCTCTCTCTCTCTCTCTCCCCCCATGCCTCTGCCTCTCTGTAACTCTGCCTTTCAAATAAACAAATAAATATTTTTAAAAAAAGAATCAATAAATGCTTAAGTTAAAATGTTTTACGGGGTAAGGAAAATCTCTCGCCACCTGCAGTGGCCTTGGCACTACAGAGGATCCAGCTACACAAGGCTGGGGCCCTGCCAACTGACCGCCCAGCCCAGCTGCACATACACACACACATACACACTACTACTGTGTGCATGTGACCATGTTCTGTGCCAGCGGGCCCAGGGGCTGCAGTGTGCATTCCCAGAAGGCACCACGCAAGTCCAATGTAGCAAACAGGCTGAGGCCCCCAGCATGTGCCAGCCCCTTGCACAGCCCCCTGAGCACGTCCACAAGGGTCAGGCACACGGCTGCGCAGTGAGGCCTCAGCTCAGAGGCTCTCACTCACTTGCCTCCAGGCTCTGGCTCCCAGCTATGAACAAAACAGCCATGATCCAAGCTGTGGCCACGAGTCATAGACTGAGATGACACACAGCAGCCGAGCACAGGGAGGCCTGCCAAGGGTGGTGCCATGGCTGCCAATGTCACTGCTCCGTCTTCACAGTGCTGGGCCCTCTCTTGAGTGTCAGTGGCCATCTCAGCTCCCTGTGCCTCCTGCCACCCCTTACCCCGGGGACCTGTCCCCTAGGGGACTCTCGGGTACAGAGCATCATCCAGGCAGGTACAAGTGGATGGCTGCTATTCAAGCCCAGAGGCAACCCTGTGGATGCTGCCATTGTCGATGTCTTCCACAGGAGGGACCTAAGACTCAGAGAGGTTAAGCACCTGTTCAAGCTCACACAGCAGGTAGCAGAGTCCAGATGTGACCCTGGACCGGTCAGACCCCAGTGGTTCCTTCTACTGCATCATATGCCAGTTCAAACCAACTGCAGCCAGGAACCTGGAACCTCCTCACCACAGAGAAGGCAAGATGGTGACACTGGGGAGGGGGCAAGAAAGCAGCAAAAGCCCCTCTTCCACTCGGGGCAGCGGGCAGTCCCCAGGGTAAGAGGTGGGTTTCTCTAGGAGGCGTGGGATCCAAACTGAACCACAGGACAAATCCCACAGAGCCAGGCCCACACTCACTCCAGCCCAGGGGACCTGAGACACAGCCAGGAGAAGGCCTGCAGGACTCAGAAGGGTTGGGACGTGGCCCCACACACACAGCCAACCAAGTCCTGACGCCCACATCTTTTGCCGAGAAGGGCAGCAACCAGGCCCTGTCTCAAGTGTCAACTCCAATGGTTAGGTTGTGGCTGCCTGGGAGGCCGGGTGGAGGATTGTGGGGCCCAGCTAAGAGTGATGCGATCGCTTAGTAATGTCTGCCTTGGGCGTAATCTAGTACATGCATGACATGCTGAAAACAACTTCTGGGCCTGTTCTGCCTCTGGGGACTGAATCCCAAGAATGTTTGAGTGTGGGCCTTGTACGGTTGCCTTCCTGCAGCCGTGGCTTGGGCAGGGCTAGGGTGTCAGCCATAGGGCAGGGGTAGAGGATGCACCCAGGCGTGTGGGCGCTGAGGGGGGCTGCCTTTCAGTTCTGCTGTGACCGTGGGTGAGGGGTCTTAGAGGATCGCTGCTATGTGCACACTGGCAGCTGGACAGGGTCCCAGGCAGGCTGTCCATCGTTCTGTGCTTAGAGCTCCACACGTCTGTGTGCTGGCCTACGTGTGTGCCTCAGCTCACCCTCAGCTGTGTCTTAGGGACCAAAGCCACCTGCTGGTAGGCCCGAAGTGGGGATGGTGACAGCTGGGGTCACGAAGAGGCCGAGACAAACGAAAGGGAAGCTCGACACCCAGCAAGCCACGCCCCGGTCGCCACCAGCTCCCTGCCAGGCAGGCCATCGGGACTACAGACCCAGAGTCACCCTCGAGGGCAGGGCTGGACGCCGTTAGCACAGGCAGCATTTCCTTCCCGGAGGACACCGGGCGCCATCTCCCCCAGGGCACACACCCGAGGTGGCAGGGCTGACGTTCCAGTGGCTGAACGCTCCCCGGCCTGGAAGGCTCAGAAATCAACAGGAAATCCTGTGACCCTCGGCCTGGAATTCCCCTGATTCCAAGGACTTGGAAAATGCAGTCACGTTAAGGACTCAGGTCCCGCCCTGATCTTTTGGAACACAGCTCTCATCCAGAGCACATAGCACGGCCCATGCACCATCCTGCCCCTCTAAGACCCCCTGCGGACCCCTAGCCTCTGCCCCCATGTGCCCCTCCCTCTGTGGTCTCCAGTGGGGCTGGCTCCGCTCCCACCCTGCAGGTGCTGCAGGACAGCTGTGCCTGCCCCTCTGCAGTGACTGTCGCTCCTTACCACAACTCTCCCAGTTACTCCATGGGACTGCTATCAGGGCCCTAACAGCAGCTGGCCACACCTCTCTCCTCCCTCCACCTTCAAACACACCCAGCAACCAACCCCGAGCCAGAGGGGCTACCCTTAATCAGCCTCTGTCTAGTTACTGGCTGGGTCCCTGGGTGCCTCTGGTCAAGGATCTTACTCCCTGTCCACCCCCCCAACCCAACGCACACCATGCCTCACACAGCCCTGGTGTAGACAGGCAGAGACAAGCCCCCGCCATGTCCACTGCCCGCCCCAGCTCAAATCTCCACGGGCAGCTCCGTGATGGGCTCCGAAGCTGCGTCCCCACACAGCCTGCTCTAGAACATGGAGAACATTCCAACCTATTAGCAAGGGCGGAGGGATGGATCTGGGCACTCTCAGGGAAACACCAGCCGTCTCCTGCCAGAGAGGGAGGGAGAGAGAGAGAGGCGGGCGGCACGGAGCTGGGTGGAGGATGAACTGCCCAGAGCCGGGCAGCCGCATGCTTGGGGAAAGGGCGCTATTGTTTTCTGGCAACTCTGCGAGCCATCCAGACTCCCCGTGTGTGCCGCGGCCAAGTCCAGGGCAAGGCCTGAGGCTGTCCATGTTCCCCCTGCGGGAGGAGAGAAGGTCAGAGACACAGACATTCCACGTCGTCCCTCGCACATTCCAGCCAGGAGCGGCAGACAAGTCTGCCCGGTCACCACCCTCTGCGGGAGGCATCACCACCGTCCCAACTGCACAACACACAATGCACATGGAGGATACGCCCCCGTCCCCGAACCAAACTGCAGAGCCAGGGGGAGTGCACCCCTTCCCCAGCACCCCAAAACGCTCTCAATCGACATCACTGTAAGCCCATGTGTTGTGAGATGTCCATGAGCCTTACAGTGACAGCCTGGGGTGGGGGGGAGCAGAGGTCCCCCTCTGCACCAGGCCCTTGTCACGGGAGGATGCTGGTTCCAGCTGAGATAGCTGAGGCAAAGACAGGGTCAGGACTCTGCTGAGGGTCACTCAGGGTTGAACCCACGCTGCCTCCTGGCCCCTCAGCCATTCCACATGGTTTCTTCAACAATCTCAGACCTACCTCCAACCCAGTCTCCCACCCACCATAGCCTAAGAGACAGTATGAGGCAGGCCGGCATCCCATATGGGCACCACCTGTGGCACTGGCATCCCATATGGGCACCGGTTCAAGTCCTGGCTGCTC